ACCATTTTCTGCTGCTTTTTGATACCAATAAAAGGCTTTTTCTAAATTCTTTTCTGTTCCTTTCCCATTGTAATACCTTGTGGCTAAATTAAACATTACTACTTTATTGCCATTTTCTGCTGATTTTTCTAAAGAATTAATACATTCTTTACACCATAATTCTTCAGTAAAGGGTTTATTGCAATATGAACAATTTTCAGCGTTTACTATATCAGTAACTGAGATATTAGATTTACTAAATTTGGTTTCCATTTGTTTTTATTTTAGAAATTTATTTTACTAAAAAAAATTATTATTTTTCTAGACAAATGATTTTATACGAAAACTTTCATGAATGAGTTATTAAAATAACCAAAAGTAGAAGTTACAATAAAAAAAATATTTTCGGGCCATAATTTTTCCGATGCAATGATCTGCGTTGAGAAATTCCTTTAAAAATACATTATGTAATGATAAAATTTGCCGTTCATGTGATTTAAATAAAAGGAAGTAATCGCATTTTCTTACAAAAATGAATGTATAAAATACATTAAATTCCTATTTAACATATTTATAAAAAAAAAATTATTGATAATTTATAATTCTTTTTTATTACAGCCTTAAAAATATCATTCGTTTATAACGAATATATACTAAATTCTAATCTTATATTATTTTGCGTTATTTTCTTAACAACTAGTGATCAAGATTAAATTAAGTTTTTTATTCTATAATATGTAAAAAAATTTGAATTAATAATTATTAAAAATAGATTTATAATGACGATTTCTATTTGTGTTTAAACACGGGTTTCCAAAAAAGAAAATTTTCTATGCTGATCATTTAATGTTGGGCAGAATTAAATTTAGAGGGAAAACAGAAGAAAACCAAAATCTGTTAAATAAGTCAAAATTGACATTAAAAACCAACTTTGACGCTTTAAGTAAACTTGCAGAACGGGAAAAAATACTCATACCATACTATATTCCTATTTATTAAAATTTTTATTATATAATTTTTTTCTATAAAGTCACGTAATACGAGTATGAGCAATGAATAAATTAAGAAATTTTCATTTGCATAAATTAATTTTTGGGACCCGGTCACATTACCGACATTTAATTACCGACAATGAAATTACTGACATCCCAATTCCCAATAATTAAACTCAGTGATTACTGATGTTGAGAAAAAAATATTGTTTTTAAAGGCTAAATTTTTAAAGAAATTATATAAAAAAAAAAATAACAAAAATCATCTTATGCCAAAAAACTTAAAAGAATATAGCTTAACATATCTGAAAAGCATAATGGAGGAAAAGAAAAAAAAATTGTTGCTTTCAATACTGTTTGTTTATTTGTGGGTATAATTTTCGAATTACAATTATTTATCACTACCGGTGATTTCTCCACTTAATTCTGGCCAAAAATTACAAATTGGCCAGAGTTAAAAAATACTGGTCGCAAAATTTTAACTTAAATAATAAATATGTTAACAAATATTGATTTGATTTAACCATGACAAAATTTTAAAATTTTTGTTAAAAAAAATGAGTCTGGTCAAATTATCGACAGTCAAATTACCGACAGTCAAATAATCGACATTCAAATTACCGAAGTGAATCAAATTGCTGACAATTTTTTTTAGACTTTGATAAAAAATAATCAATGATGTAAATACTAAATACAATATAAATATTACAATATGAACAATATAATTCAATATATTTATAATAAATTTTAGCCACAATTAAAACATTAACAGTTAATTCATAAATATTAAACAGAATAAATTAATAAATGTGTATAGTTGCGACTTGCGAAGTGTGTTTTGTGTTTAATAATTTTTTTTGATAATTTTGCTGTGCCAACCACCTATCTGTGTCAGTAATTTGATTGACGATAATTTAACCCTGTCGGTAACTACGAATTTTCACTCATACCGTCACAATTAGTAGATTGTTTTATATAAAAAAGTTCTCAGTGCGAAGCAACGAGTTTTATAAAATCACATTTTATTTATTACGTAGCCAAATTACAAGAAAAAAAATGGAATAAAAAAATTTTTATAATTTATAATTATTACTTCAGTCCAACGAAACTGCCAATTATCCTTTCATTTTTACTGCGCCTCACGGAGACTTGAATTTGTCTTTCTATAGTTTCAACATCTTTTCGATATAGTTTAAATACAATTCTTCTCTATTATTTCAATATTCAACCTAGTATCTCGACTTATATTTTAGAAAAATTTAGGAGACTTTGAAGTTATACCATAAACTTTTCTATTTTACTCTCAAGCGATCGTACTAATAAACTTTCAATATTTCGAAAAAACTTGTTAATAAAAGATCTTGTTTCGTTATAAAATGTCGCTAAACACTTTTCGCGCCTAATATGGTTTTTCTATATTTATTAAGAGTGATAGAGGATTTTTCTCGATTTTTTTTTCAAAAATTTTTAGCCGAGTGCATCAGAAAGTTTAATTTAATTATAAGCTTCTTATTATTTAAAGTTCAGTTAATACTCATTATTTGGAAAAAGTTAGTGATTATCGGTTATGGTATTTACACAATTGATTTTTTAAATAAGCGAGGTAAATCGTAAATATTCAAATGAAACTAGACTAATACGATATAAACCTAAAATTAGAAAATATTAACTATACTTGTTGCGTTGCAACGGGATTAATTTGTGCTAATATGCCTGTTCATCCATAAAATTTATACCCATGACATTTTTCCTTTTTTTGTTAAGAGCTTGTCTTTCTTTACATAATCTTTTTTACATTATTCAGACACCCCAACTTCGAATATTTCCTGAAAAGAAGTACTTGAATTACAGCATTAACAATACTTCACACATTATATTTATTGAAAAATTGATGCATAATATACGAAAGAAGTATGGCGGCCACTTTAATATCATGGAAATATAGACTCATGTTAGTGGATGGGGACAACCAAAAAAAAAAAAAAATTAAAATTACGAACAATAAAAAACAATAGCAAAAAAATTCCTTTTATTTTTATTGATGTTAATTAATTATTAACAAAAATCCAACAAAAAAAAATGTGTAATAATAAAATAATAATCAAAAATAGAAAAAAACTAATTAAAAAAAATTATTTTTTGGTTTGAACCAAATAAATAAATAAATAAATAAATAAATAAATAATGAAAAATTATTGAACTAAAAAAAAAAACCAAAAATAAGCGATTAAAAAAAATCTATTTTTCGATATTGAACGAAAAGAATAAATAAAAAATTGAGTAAAAAAATTTTCTTTTTTGGTTTGTACTTTGTACCAAAAAAAATAAAAAAATGATAAAAAATATATATATATGTTTTCGGTATTGAACTAAAAAGCTGAAAATAAAAAAATTAAAAAGATTTTTTCAATTTGAAGAAAAAAAAATAAAAAAAAATCATATTATTTTCGAGTATTAATAACAAAATAAATCGATTCTTGTCGACCTTGTATAAGAAAATTTTGGATGTCAGTTTTCCTATTGGAATTTGGATTTTTTTTTTTTTTTCAAAATAAAATAGGCACATTCTTGAAAAAAATGAATTCACAAAATAGTGAGTATCGACTATACTTAATAAGCAATAACGTTACAAATAAACTTTGATATTGAAAATTTAACTTATAAAATTTTTTACGCAGTAAAGAAATTAAAATAAAATTAATTTAACATATTTTGATTTAAAAATGTAAAAAAAAAATGTTAGATAATTAGATAAACATAATTTTTTTGTCTTTTAGGATATTACGGGGTTGATAGATTTAATAACAAATGATGAATGATACAATACATTGTGAATTAATGTACAAAACAGCTTTGTTAATCATCGTTAACAATGTTAATTCATTGGTTAACATTCGAAAAAAACTCATATTGGAATAAAAAAGTATATATAAATAAGGATTGAGTGTGATTTAGTACGATAAAGATTTTTTTGCTAATGATAATTAGATAGAACCTTGTAGAAAGACTATTTTTAAGTAATTCAATTAATAGTACTGTATGTCTTGTGACCTATATTAGTATTAGCTCATCGAAATTAATTTTCATCATATTCCTTTCAATAAAATAACTTGATTACTAATTTTTCATTATTAAATTGAAATGTTACTAATACTTATTACAAAATGCGTGTACACATGTTTTTATTATGAGGAATCATGATTAAGCAATACTGTACGGAGAATATTTCGCTATGTATCAGTTTCTACTTCTGGTAACAATTTACTTGCTTCGCATTGACTTTACTATTAAACTAAATTGAATAATACTAAATTATTTTATTATTATTATTCCAATTCGTAATCAAGTAAATGGATTGCCGTTCAGTTAGATTGATATCATAGTAATGAAATGACCTATGAAGCTATGATTATACGATCCAAAATTCATGATAAATTTAAAAAAAAATTTTGATAAAAAATGCTAAATTCTTTTATTATATTTAGTTAAAAAATATCATAGTAATTATTATAATATAATTATCAAAGTTTAAGAAAAACATCATTTAAGAAATAAATTTTTTAAATAATCAATAAATAAATTAATTGAAAAGAATACAATAAAATAGTTTCTTTTTTTTTATTGTTTTATTGCAGATTTTTTTTTAAAAAAATTCATTAATAATATATGATAATTATCTAATATTTTTTTTTGCCAAAAAATTTAATTGTTTAATATTTTGTTTTTTTCAGGAAAATCAAGGAAAATAATTAACTGTTACGAAAAAAAAAAAATAAAAAAAAAATAAAAAATGATTTGTTAATTGTTAATTAAAAAGTAATACAATAGAATAGATCTTTTTTTATTGTCCGGAGCGAAGCGAAGGACAATATATGTCTACGCACTATGAAAAAAAATCGATCACGTGAGTTTCTCTGTCCGCCACGTGATAGTCACCCAATGAAATCGGCAAATTTTAGTTTTTCGTTCCGGACTTACAACGGTTCCCGTTTCCTAGTTTTAATACAAATTATTTTTTGCAAAATTAGTAATAAATGTTACCTAATATTTTTTTTGTCAAAAAGGTTTAATTGTCAAATTTTTTTTCATAAAGTTTTAACGAAATTATCACAAAATTTACTGAATCTTATGATGTTAATATTGAAGTTGGTAATGACCCTTATATAAGATATTTCACTTATTTACGAAAAATTTGTCAATCAATAAAAGGAAAAATGATGGAACTTTGGTATATATAATATTTTACCTGAAATTTTTCAAATAATCTTAAGGTATGACGTGGTATGATAAGAATTAAACTTAAAACAGTTGTATAATAAATTAATTTAAATTTATACTTCTTATTCTAGATATATTTATAGTGGAAGAATTTCTTTGGAAGAATATGATACTTTAGATATAATTAAAATCTTGGTTGCTGGAAGTGAACTTGGTCTTCAAGAATTAATCACTTAATTTACAACCCTTTTTGATTAATACTAAGGCAAGTTGGATGGAACAAAATTTTAGTTTGATATATCAAACAAGCTTTGAAACCGATTCTTTCTTGCATTGGAACTTCAAAAATTTTGTACTAATCTAATAACCAAAAGGTCAAACAAGATATTCTTTTCTCCAAGTTTTTCTTTAATTCCGGAAAAGCTTTTGGTCTCACTTATTCAAAGTGATAATCTTCAAATGAACGAAATTCAAGTATGGGAACATGTGCTTAAATGGGGACTTGCTCAAAGCCCAGAGATTCCTTCCGATCCTACAAATTTTTCATAAGAAGATTTCAAAACTTTAAAGAAATATATCCCATTTATCAGATTTCATAATTTATCTTCTGAAGAATTTTCGAATAAAGTATTACCTATTTGTTATATGAAGATTTATTAAAATATTTTATTAATCCTTATAATAAATCAATTAGGGAATCAAAACCTCGTAAAGAAATTAATATTAATTCCAAAATCATTACACCTTTGTTACTTCGTGATTCTCGTGATGGATTTTACAAACGATGATGCAAATTTTGTTTATCCAGTTAAAGGCTACAATGATGTTGCTTTCATATATCAACCGAAATCAATGATTAGAAAGATAACGCAGATGATGGCATGATCTTTGTTTATACCGAGGAGGAAAAATCAGATGCAAAGAATTTACAAGATGATAATGATGAAGGCGATGCGAATGAACTATTTTCGTTTACTCAGGATATGATATAAGTAGTTCCGATAATAATACAAACATTAATAAAAGTGAAGTTCCCAAAGCTGACAAACCATCAGATTCAATTAGTTTGTAACTTACGGAAGGAGGATTAATAAAACTTTAGGGTTGATTCACTTCAATTATTTTTTTCACCCTTTTTATTTCATAAAATTTATAGATTTTAAATTTTTACATATTTTTAATATTCTGTTTAAGTTATATACAAAGAACGTAATTATCTAAAATTTAAGTCAGGAAATTCGCTAAGGGCCAATTGGTCTCATGAGATCCACTGCCACCCATATGTACATATATATATTACGGAAAGAAAAAGATTTTACGCCCCCTTAAAATCAAATACACGTATTCTTCTATACAAATACACTAAGTACTCTATTCCCAAAAAAATTTTTTACCTTTAAAAAAAAATTACTTAACGTTAATATATTAATATATTAATCTATACCTAATTCTCGCTTAGCTTTTAAATGTAATAAATGAATCTGAATTAAGAACCAAAATTCAGGATATACGAGTTCTTATTTTGGTAAATAAACTCTATATATTTTCTTATATGTTAAAATACCAAAATTAACGCAAAATGTCATACAGGCGTCATCACTAAATTCATCTAATTCAAACCAACTTTGTTTGAATTTATCATATATTTCATCTGTTCATATTGTTATGAGAAAAATAGTGATTCGATTACAAAACCATGATTTCCAACGTCCCTGATTTGACAATAGATAAAATAACTCGATTTCAGCCAAAACCTAATAGGAAAAGAAAAATTTGAAATACTTTTGCAAAAAATATAACGATAACTTTATAGTTAAATTAATAAAATACCTCTGTCATTTGCTTTAATATGGGACTCTCATTATCTTCATTATTGAGTAATCCAATAAACAAATTCACAAGATATACTACAACCAAGAGCGAAAACGAAACAGTACTAATTGGATAACGCATTTGAATCACCTAATATTTGAAATGTGTTAGAAGTGATGTAATGATTCTTCGTTTACCTTTATATTTATTTATAATGATGTTATGCTTTAAACTTTTGAAAAAGAAAATTCGCAAGAAATGAAATAAAGTAAGATATTTACGTGGCAATGTTTACAATTATTATTAAGAAAAAATATTACCCTATAAAAATTTTATCCGTTACTTCTGTAAATATTCCGTAAAAATGAGCCTTTTACAGATCCATTCACGGAAAATCTAAATAATTCGATAAATTCTGTGATATAAAGTTATTAATTCCGGAAATATGAGCCTTTTACGGAAAAAAGATGGAATAAAAAAAAAGGATTGACTTTTTTTTACAGGGTTGACATTTAGAGAACAATGACAACATTCACTTTATTGCCCAAACTTTAGAAATTGTTTGATATCCACATATCCTTCGTAAGAATTAATTTATCTTGTGTTTTCTCTGTCAAAACAAATTAACATCCCTGAAACTTAAACATTTGTCATAAATCTTTGTTCATAGATAATGAAAAATGTTGATTGAGCTTAACTATATATAGCAAGTATATAGCCGTAAATCATCTATTAATAGCTATAATGTCAATATTCAGGCATGAACCAATGAAAACATGATATATTGAACAGTGAAAATAGGCTAAGCCTAGTTTTATTAATACTTACATATATGTGAAAATTTTGTGGTCACGAGTGTATCATCAAATAAAATCGTTTCAGATTATCTATCGCGCCCATCTTTTTTTTCTCCAAACTCGCAATTGAAAAAAATTTCTTTCTTACCTGTCTAAAAAAAAAAATGAAATTCGACAGAGACGTACTTTATTTAATAACAAAAAATTTGCAAAATGACAGTATATCACTTTATTCATTTCTTTTAGTTAACAAAATTTGGTGTGAGGTAGCAGTACCAGTATTATGGAAAATTCCTGGAAGAATTCCTTTAACTAAAAAAGCAGGGAGTATAATATTCAACGTTATACTTTCACATTTATCAGAAGACTCAAGAGATATTTTGAAGAAACAAGGAATCGACTATCTTTTTACAGAAGCTTATCGACCACCTTCATTTAATTACATTATCTTCTGGAGACATTTAGATTTACAACTTTTAGAGAATATGATCAAATTAAGAAATGTCAAAGAATCGAACATTAATATTATAATAAATGAATTATCAAAGTTATTTATTAACAAAAATACTAAATTTCTTTCACTTTTTATTCCATATAGTTTTAAATATCAATTACATAGTATTTCATGGGCTGAACAATGCTTTTCAAGTCTTAAATCCCTTCATTGTGATAATAGGGATAAAAATATTGTGGAAGGATTGGCTATAATAGCTAAATCAATTAATAACTTATATATCATATTACAGATTTTGACAATGATGATATTTCTGGAAGTTTAACATTAATTGAAAATCAAAATAACTTGAACGAAATTCAAATTGATTGTTGTGCTTTTGCACAATCCAATATTATTGAAAAATCACTAATTAAAAAAGCAGATACTATTCAACATCTACAAACAAATTGGGATCCTGAAGATGAATTTCTTTCATATTTTGTAAATTTAAGTAGTTTAAAAATAGGTGATCCTTACTGGTATGGATATCCCAATAATAAAACAAATTGGTGTCATTTGGAAAAAGTATCTTTACCTGGTTTAAAAGTTTTAATAGCCAATATTGACTCACATCAAAATTTAGATAGAATGATTAAAATAATAAATGGTCATCATCTTCATGAGATCACTCTTTGCCATAATGGTCTAGTTAGTGATGCCAATTATCATAGAAGACTTATTCGAGCAATTTATCAGAATTGTCCAAATCTTAGATATCTTAGTATGCCAATGATGGAACTAAATTTTCCTGAATTTGAAAGGTTATTAATTAATTGTCAAAAATTAAATGGATTGATTTTTAAAAATGAAATATTTTTTAAATATAAGAGTTTGTTTGAAATATTAATTAAATCATCGCCAATAAGTTTATATAAATTTAAAATTTATTTTAATCGGAAATTTGGACCTAAATTTAAATTATTAAAATCATTTTTTAATAACTGGAAAGATAGGCATCCTATGATGTTACAAATCAATCGGGTGAATTTTGATGATAATCGAGAGGTAGAGAAATTAGAAGAGCTAGTTAAAAAATATGAAGTATAAGGAATAGTTCAAAGATGTGACTTTGATTGTTTTTGTGATTATGAAGAATTTGATTGGATTCGGAAAAAACCAGATGTTTATTAGCCACAAGTATCTTGTTATATATAGAAATATCTTATATATATAAATAAAGATAATACTTTTATATGAAAAAAAACGAGTTATTTTATTTAATATGATATAATTTTGTGGTGTTAAGTTCAAATTTTAAATTACAATCATAATCATTAATGATTTACTGACTCTGATTTGTTTTTCGTAATCATTATTTTACATGTGACAATAACCATGACCTTCAATTAAAGTAAGGTCACTGACAAGTTACGTATAGCTAAATTTTCACCTTTTACACGACTTAAAATATAATTTTAAATATCACCATTACTCTTAAAAGTAAACATAAACTATCTTTAGTATTGCAGAAACTGATGCATAGCGAAATAAAAATTGCAAATACATGCGAGAATTATTTTTTGTGACTCCATCGATTCTCATAAATACTAAGTATACTATATATTATATAACATTAAATTTTATATATTTCGTGAACACGCTATTCTCCTATTCTGTAGATATTCTATAGATGATTATTCCTATCAGTTGTTTATCAACATGCTTTGCTGACCCTAACCCTAACCCATTATGAGATTTTCACATCATACAACTTGCAAGGTGATGTGAAAATAGAACAAAGTTACCTGCAGAGATTGATGTGCAAATTTTCTTGCAACTCGATAAAATTACTATAATTTTTTCAATTTTTTCAATTTTTTCCGTTAAAAGATATATTCCGTACGTAAACAAAATGAAGTTGAATTTGCGCAGTCTGAATAAACAATAATGTAATAATTATGACTAAGTTTTCATATGTAATTGATTCTATTTTTATACAGTAAATAACTTGTAAACATATAAATTAGATTTTTACTCACTTCCGATTTTACGGTTATATAGATTTGCCCATCTTTAGGATCAAATGCTCACCTCATCTTGGCCTCATCTTGGCGGCGTGGTTATCTCATCTTGGCGACGTAAAATGTCTTTGTCATACGCTTATATAAATTTTCAAAACCCCCTTTTATTATTTAATTATATCACATTATTATTAAGATCCTTTACACAAAAATAAATAAACTTTTTATAATAACAAATAAAAATAAAATTATTATAAAATTGCTTAAAAACTATTTTAAATTTAAAAACAGTAACATGAATTGTAACAAAATAATGAATATATATTAAAAAAAGAGTATCATTACACAATTAATTTATTAAAAGAAAGTTTCAACTTATAATAAGAATCAAAAGATCAGTAGCACCTTAAATTGGATCAATCACTTTGGGGAAGGAGCATTTGTCACTTCATCTTGGTGACATTAACTGCTTTTGTGGCATATGCCATACCTGATAATATTGGTTTTATAAATGAAAATTTTAAAGTAATAAATGTAATAAATTCGTTCCATGATCCGGGGATTTCAATCTTCAAGAAAGGCTTTTCAGATAACTTAAAAGTTTATGATTAAGTAAGTTGGAAGAGAAGTTTGGGAGTCGGGAGTAAGTTAAAAAAGAAGTTTGAAATATTTTTGAAAAAAAAAAATGTTACGTAATTTTTAGGTCATAATATTTGACTGTATTTGACTAGTCAGTGTGGCTTTTTTTTTACTTGCAAAATAAATTAATATAATCATGTAATCAAACAAATGGTTAATATATTTTCCATATTTGTACAGTATTGCTCAATCACGATGCCATATTATTCAATTTTACATTTAAACTTTTTATTAACCGGAAAAGATTTAATAAGACGACATTACTATTTAATAACTTATAGTTAATTATGATCGGCACAATACAAAAATTTTTGCGCTATTAAAAGTCATGTGATTATACTCTCCTTAAATGTACAGACGATCCCGGTATTTTTAAAGGAATTTTTCAACGCAGATCAGAGCATCGGAAAAATTATGGACCGAAAAATATTTTTTTGTTGTAACTTCTACTTTTGGTTAAAGTATTCCTTTTTAGTAACTCATTCATGAAATATTTGCTAAAAAATATTTATCTAAAAAAATAATTTTTTTGGTAAAATAAATTTCTAAAATAAAACAAATGGAAACCAAATTTAGTAAATCTAATATCTCAGTTACTGATATAGTAAACACCAAAAATTGTTCATATTGCAATAAACCCTTTACTGAAGAATTATGGTGTAAAGAATGTATTAATTCTTTAGAAAAATCAGCAGAAAATGGTAATGATTATGCAATAAATATTTTAGCCAATAGATATTATTATGGAGAAGGAGAAAAGAATTTAGAAAAAGCCTTTTATTGGTATCAAAAAGCAGCAGAAAATGGAAATACTGATGCAATTTTTAATTTAGCCAATAATTACAGAACTGGAGAAGGAACAGAAAAGAATTTAGAAAAGGCCATTTATTGGTATCAAAAAGCAGCAGAAAATGGTAATATAAATGCAATGAATAATTTAGCTTTATGCTATGAAAATGGAGAAGGAACAGAAAAGAGTTTAGAAAAAGCCTTTTATTGGTATCAAAAAGCAGTAGAAATTGGTAATATTAATGCAATGTTTATTTTAGCCAATAAGTATTATAATGGGGAGGGAACAGAAAAGAATTTAGAAAAAGCCTTTTATTGGTATCAAGAAGCAGCAGAAAATGGTAATATAAATGCAATGAATAATTTAGCCAATAAGTATTATAATGGGGAGGGAACAGAAAAGAATTTAGAAAAAGCCTTTTATTGGTATCAAAAAGCAG